CAGACAGAACACTTAGATCTAATCGCTTAGACATCGAGATCAAAGAACGCAAGAACAGAATATACTTTCTTATGGACATAGCAGTCCCTGCAGATTGTAATCTTCCAAAAACTATCAAATTCCAAGGATCTTAAAGTGGTAATCTCAAAAATGTGGCACATGAGGGCATCAATAATTCCAATTGTAGTTGGAGCCCTCGGATTGATTGGAAAAGGGTTCAATAGACCCATTGAAAGGATACCTGATAGCCCATAATTTAAAGAAATTTAAGGCATAGGCCTACAGGAAAGTTGTACTCGCTAGTAGAGCTCACACATTACGAAGAGCTTTATCTATGTAAAATGTGTTTGATTTTAGTTTTTTTAAATTATTTTTTATTTTTACAAAAAATGCTTAGTGGAAAATGTTATGAGGTCATTTCTAACCTTCGGTCTCTGGTTGGGACCCAGAAGGAAATGTATATACAGCAGAAATCCAAGTAAACAACAATAATAATAAATTGGGGAACAAGCAACACAGGTATGACTCTCATGGTTTTTAGTCTTAATTGATTGAGGGTTGCAATATGCACATATATTTCCGTAGTTAATTAAGATGGGTCATGCTAAAGATTCCGTTCCGCAAATTAATTGTAACGGTCAGAAGTTACAAAAGAACTGATAGGAGAACAAACAGAGATTCAGAAAACTCCTAAAGGAGAAAAAAAAAATGAAAGTGAAAGAAAAAAATCTACAAACATTTCGAAAGTCAAGCAAAACACATTTTAGACGAAATGACATAAACATGGTTTTGCATAGGACATATAAAAAGGGAAATCTAAATCTCTATTATTGGCAATCCAGAAACTCTCCTGGAAGCACTGAATATCATTTAATTTCGTGAAAAACTATTACGAAGGGCATTTGTAAAGCTGTTGGCCCCATCAAGAAGGGATTCAAAATATTCGGATATTTTGACTTTGGTCAGATTTTGGGAAGCTGAGAACTTTTCAGCACCCTTCCCTATAACTGCTGGTATCTTTTAAAACATGCAACAATAGAAAAATATGTTCTTACTTTCATTACTGGAAGAAAATGAGCAGGAATAAATTTAAATAGATAATGATAATGATAATGTCCCTATTTGCCAACAATTACAGATCATTTGAAACGTTGTGAGGATAGTGAGGGAATAATGACAAAGCGTTGTTCAGTGAGTAGGATACGCGGGTGGGGTAACGGTTATCGGCACAGAAATTTGAGTCGGCGAGCTAAATTCAAATTTTGACCAAGGGTATTATATTTACTTCGCATTAATGCCATGGGTGCGGCACTGTTGAGTGCTTTTGTTTTTTAATTATTTCAATCCAAGTAAGGTAATAAAGCCACTAAGACGCAAGGGATTACTGAGGGTGAGAGGATATGAGAAAAACAAAAACACTATATATAACAAAAAAGAACAGGAATTAAGAAGACAGAAGATAACAATTGACATTGCATTTCAATTTTTGAGGATCAAAGTTGACTGGGAATCAAGAAGCGGAAAGAGAGCTTCTCAAACAAGAAATGAGAAAGAAGAAACTATTAGCATAGAACCTACGGTTACAATTAGCCATTTAAACAGTAAAAAGATGAAATATTTCCTACAATCTAGTAATGCGCTTAAATTCGTAAAGTCTAGGTACTATAGAAGAAGATTCATCAGAACAATTACCACGAAAGTATTTATAGAACGATTTACAGGGAAGCTACATTACGGCGGTAGGAAAGTGACTGAAGTCAAGATGCCAGGTGAAGACGAATACAATTGCAGATTCTTGTTTGGATTTTATCAAGAATCTCTAAATATATAGCAGGAGCACGAGACTAGATGTGGCAGTAATATTCAAAGCATAGTCGAATAGTAGACTTATAAATATATAAGATTCTGGTGTGAATGATTGTCTAGCACGACACAGTGAACCAACTTTCCTAGCAGCAGACATAGCAATTGATTCAATATAATCTTTACAATTGAGGTCAGTGGAAAACGTTAGCCTGAAAAGGTACCAGAAAACCATACCAAACATTGTAAGTGAAATTGAGTAGAACAAAAAACTATTCGGAAGCTGTCGATAGTTGTGTTAGCATAAAATCATAAGTCATCATAACTGAGAGTTTGTTCGTGATGGCCTTATTCAAACCATTAATCACATCATATTTTGTCCTCTTTCCCAGAAACTAACTAATTTAATAATAGTTGTAGAGATAAAACACTGGTTAAAGAAACACAAATGTGCCTGAGCAGGCGACTAGCCACCCTAATAGACTCCCTAGTCTTCCGAGACTAACGGCTGCCTACTATAATGTCCTTGGAAAAGGCATGGAACCTTCGTTTCCCCGAATATGCAGGTGGTGTAATGGATTGCGACTCAAAAAGAGAAATCGGAGATCCAAGTTCGAATTCCAATCGGGATCGTTACATTGATTTATACGCAAATAGCCTTGGGAAAGGTATGAATCCATCTCCCCCCTCAAGCTATGTGTCAGATAGTAAGACTTACATCTGGAAAGTCATTGTTATTTTAAAAATGGTTAATGCAATATTCCCTAGCAAAAAAAAAAATAATTATTTTTACAATCCAGAATTTGTTTCGGTTTTAAATAACACATAAAGTATTGATAAGCTTAAAAAAAATGAAAGAATTTAACAAATCGATAAATCCATATCTTCCCCAGCTATAGATAAAATTGTAAAATAGACTGAGCTCTCTAGTCTTTGCGGGGGAAACCAGTCTTTGAGAAGGACAACTTTGAATTAATTTCCCAAAATGTAAAGCAAATTATACTTCACTAGTCGTTCTGCACCTCACCTTGCCGCTGGAACCTGAGTGGGGATGACGAGAGCGTGAATCTGTGTTTACTCACACAAAATCCACCCACGCAGCCTCTATTCCTTCTTGAAAGGAATCATTATACTCTTATTGGATGGCTTGTGGGAGAACGATTTAATGGGCAATTATTTCCTTTTTTAAATATAGGGATTATGTCTGTATATGGCTAAAAAATTAAACGCTGATTCACGAGAAAGTTATAATTGTCTTCGTTGAGCAAAGTCAGAGACGATGACTGTGTCAGGGGGAATAGACAAAACATTGTATTCGAGAAGCGCTTTAAGGCGCAAATTATTCAGAACATCCATTTGCACAGAAAATTTTAGTTTAATAAACACTGAAGCGTGCTATGAAAAGAAGGAAAAGATGAAAGGAAATGAACGTATGCGGTCTTCTGGCGCAGTTCCACTTTGATATTCTTTGATCATGCAAGTTAAAACCCACCCATTTTGCTATCTTTTAAGAACCAACAATTTTGAAGAGGCGTTAAAACTGGATGGTGGGCGAAAATAAAGAAGATGCCTGATGCATAACCATCGTTCATTGCTAAGCTCCCTAAAATCAATAAACTTGATCTTTTCTTTTTCTATCGCCTTTTGAGTGTACATCTGCTACGGACAAAACAATATGTACTCTTATCTGCACTTTCAACCGATTCTTGAACGGAAGTGTATAAAAGAAATGTCTGCGTTTTTCCTTTTTACTAATATAAAAAGAAAAAGCACATATTTTGACTCTATTATTGCCAACGGCAGGCACTGTTTATTGATAGATATTTTGTTGGGAGAGTTTAATTTTGGCGAGGAAAATGCGTTGTTAGCTTAGAGCAGTAAATAGACAAATAAATAAATAAGACAGGTGAAAAAAGTAAAAAAATAAAAAATAAAAATCCCAAAAGGTAGAAATCTAAATGAAAAATATGAAAAATGATAAGGAAAAATCAAAAAACAATTTAGAAGGGAGAGTAGGAGGAAAAGGAGAAAGGAATTAAAAAGAAACGACAGAGAAGGAGAAGTAAAGTAAATTGGCGAGAGAGAGAGAGAGAGAGAGAGAGAGAGAGAGAGGGAGAGTGAGAAATGAGAGGAAAGAGAGAGAAAGAAGAGAAAAGAGAGAAAAGAGAAGTGATGAAGAGGGGGATAGCATGGAATAAACAGAAGAAACAACAACAAAAAACGAAAAGAACCGGAAATTAAAAAAAAAGAAATAAAAAAAAAAACGGAGAAAAAAAAAAAAGATAAGATGAGGGAGAGAAAGAAAATAAAAGAAAGCAGAAAAGTGGAAGAGTGAGAAGGAGGGAAAAGAAGCAGAAGAAAAGAAAGAATCAAAAAGTAAAAGGAAAAAGAAGCACAAAGAACATAGAGAAACAAGAATAGAGGATGAAAAGTAAAGAGAAAGAAAGTGAGAAGAAAGCTAGAGAGATGAAAGAAAAACAAAAAGAGAAAGAGAAAGAGAATGAGAGAGACGGAGTAAGAGGATAGAAAAAGATGGGGTGAACGGGTAAAGTATGAAATACAAGTAGAAAGAATAGAGCGTGAAGAGATACAAGAAGTAAGAGAAAAATGAGAAGATCTAAGAAAGAAATAAAAATCTGAAAGTATAAAATGCATGAGAAAATGATAGAAAAACACTTTTCATACAAATTTAATTAATGTAGATGAGAGAATATTTACTCAATTTTATTAGATTTATAATGTAATAATTGGATGACCTCAAAACAAGACAAAAAAAAAATACCACAAATACATCATGCAAAAGAGAGACCCCTATGAAACGCACACATTCACAAAGAAAGAGTTTGATAAGGAGATGCAAGCCCAACGTATTGCAACTGTATTTTATTCACGGGAAAACGAATAAAAATGGATGTCTGATTTGTTTTTTTTTTTTCATATTAGAATTAACCAAATAAAAGACACGAGAAACACTTACTATTTAAATGTTTTTGAGTAATTGATTTTATTTTTTACAGCTTAGGTCATTTAAAGCCAGAAATTGTTTTTAGATTCTAAGAATCTTTTGGAGATAAAAATGATTTTTACTGATAAGTCCTAATAATTAACCCATAGATTCTTTCCTAAGGATATTTGCGCAAATTGAAACGCGGTTCCTCGATTTCCATTATTTTAATTACACCAGCCACTCATCTAGGCTTACAGCAACTGGTATTCCCAAGTAGTCACCCTTCCTAGGTACTGACCAAGCTCGACGTTGCTTAACTTCGGGGATTGTACGAGAACCGGTGTTTCAACATGATATGGACGTAGGCCCTGCTTACATGGTAATAATGTATTACAGTCTTAACATCGTCAAGTCAAAGGCCAAGAAAGCAGTTGCAGGTGTGTCTGTTCTACAGATTGAACGTTCCTGGGAAAAGACTGTCTGAACGGAACTTTCTTCTTAACTTTGGAACACAGTGGAAATGAGGGTCTTTTGACTCCGTGGAGGTAGAATGATGTCGCCTCGATGTAAAGGTTCAATGGGAAATTAGTTTCATTCTTTATATATTTTAAAGGCTAGAAACTAGACAGTTTTTAGTGTCTTTTCATTGAGATGCTCCCAAAACATTCGTCCAAATTCGTCAAACTATTTTTGAGGTATTTCGACATACAGACAGAGAATAATCGAACATCCTGTTTTTGCGGGCATGAAGACTAAAATTAATCTTAAAGGCCAATGGACATTGAAGGCAACCAAATTTGGCATTTTATCTATACAGTGGAACATCGGTTATCGGCCATAATCCGTTCTAGAAATTCGCCCGAAAACCGAACTGCACGAAAATCGATGAAATATTCCCATAAGAAATAATGTAAATCCAATTAATCCGTTATACACACCCAAAAATATAAACAAAAATGCATTTTCTACAAAATAACTATAGTTTCAGTCGCAGAAAACAATAAGAAATAAATATAGATGACAAATAAATAGAATAAATAAATATTTAACTTCATTTTATTTTTATTGAAGAGTTGAAGTTCTGTAAATATTAGGATATAGGTTGTTGCAAATTTGTAAAATGCCTATTCGTTAAAAATTGATTAAAGAAAAAAAATGTATTTGCTGTTACTTGCAAACTAGAAAGATATAGGCTTAAATACAAAAGATACGTTCTGTTTGCAATGAAGTGAGGACGGGGGAGAGAGAGAGGTGAGGTGTCGTTGTTTAGAAGGGGAATATCCCTCCATAAAGACTTCAGGTAAGTCTTTTTTGGCGGGTAGTTCCTTTCTGTGTCTCTTTTATGCTCGGGGAAGTCACGGGGTAGCAAGCGACCAGGAATGTACAGGTTCGTAACGGACGGATTTCCTTGCTCGATAACAGAGGGGTGTATAATTTCCGAGACATATTTTCGCCGAAAAAGTGAATAATAACCGAATTGTACGATGACGGAAACTTCACTGTATCTATATTTTTTGTAGACTCTGTCACAACAGAAACTGTCTGCAGATGAAGTGGCGGGTATGAAAAATTGTGGATCAAGACGAAGAAAAAAAATTGAGGCATCAAAAATGGGATTATGCAGAAGGATACTGAGAATTCCATGAACGGGGCGAGGAAGTCTTAAAGAAAATGGAAACAAAAAGAACATTTATGTTCAGACATCTGACATTTCTTGGCACACTCGTTGTAAATGTATAACTATATTACAACCACAGGTTGAAACCGATTCTTGTACGATCACCGAAGTTAAGCAACATCGAGCATGGTACCTAGATGAATGATCACTTGGTAATATCAAGGTGCTGTAAGATTGGATGTGCGGGTAGTGTAATGGATAAGAGCACGGAATTGGAAATCGGAGAGCCGAGTTCCAATTCCCGTTGGGTCCGTTATATTCGCTTATGCCCAAATACCACTGGGAAGGTATCAATCCACAAATTGTCTTCTCAGTTATGGGTTAATTATTAGGAATTGTATCAATAAACCATTATTACATCTCCCCCTCCAAAAAAAAAAAAAAAAAATTTACAATCTGAAACTATTTTCTGGCTTTAGAAAAGGTTGATAAGCCATAAAAAACAAATCAATCAATCAATTACTTGCTTAATTTGAAATTTTACATAGCAGTTTTTGAATGCTAAACTCGATGGAAGCTTAGGCGGTCTGGAATCTGGTATTCTAACAGAAACGCCCTTAAGCATTTCTGTATTTGTCGGTTGGCGTAAAAACACTGATCAGCTTAGAGTATCTGATTGATGATCCGTGTTAAGACGGAATCAGAACTGATAAGAAAACTTGCCTTGCCGTAATCCACTCACGAAATATCGCATTTTATGCAAAGGAGACAAAAGCGTGAAGGGGGTTAAATGTCATTCGCAAAACTCAGATTGCATTGTTTCCAATTTAAATCCTTACAAGAGGCTTTCATTTTTCGCCCAAATGGCACGAACAGCTTCATGGTTATCCGGTGTTTGTGCTGCAACCCTATCAACTTTCATTGATTAGTAGATGCTTGGAAGAGTAAAAAGTGAGAAACGTAGAATGTTCTTCACATTGTAGGATTGCTAAAATCTTGTCTGTCCGTTAGGTATCATTATATTCAGGACTATAAAATAAAAGAACATAAATCATCTTTCATTTTACCACCCAGTCACTAGTAGAAATCATGTCCAGTAGTCCTTGCCGGGCGAGAGGATATTTCTTTCCAGACAAACCGACTTTAGCATTTTACCTAACCACGTGACACACACAGTATAGCTAATTTCATAAACATTTACCTTCTTCTTTTGTGTCATTTGTACACGCGTAAATATAAATTCTCTTTCTCTTTGTGAACTATATACGAGGGTGAGTTAAAAATCAATGCAATTTGTTTCATTATATAAGAAATATAGAACTTAATTAAACATATCGTACATCAAGATATGGCTATACATCACAGATTCACATACCTACTTCTCAACACACTCACCACTTCTTTTAATGTCAGTGTTCCTCCTACGAATGAGGACATATATCCCAGATTAGTAAGTCTCAGCTGGCTGCTGACGTAACGGATACCTTACAGCAGTTTTCACTTTTTCATCACCACCCGATTTAACACCCTCTTTTGACTTATCTCCTTGGTCCAATGAAAGATGCACTAAAGGTCAAACTTTATGAGGCTCCTTGCCTGGAGTGTCTATTGGGACTCAATCACGCACAGACTCCAAGACGAACTCGTATATACGATCCATCACTAAAGACCCTGGAAAAATCGTCGGCTCCTTATACCTTTCCAGAAAGTACCTGATTCCTCGCTCTATTTCTGTAAGAGCCATATCTGGGTTGGAGCTGTTCAATGCCTTAATTTCCAGCATCGATCGCGTTCAGAAATATTTACGCGGCCTTGTGAGTGATGAATTGTTTTCAATCCTTCAACCTGTTTCTCTCAGAAGAAAACGTTTTCTTCTGAGAAAACGTCTACATTCCATTGTCCCACCATCCCAGACTTTCACATCTAGGATTCGCAATGCCACGTACACCAGAATCCACTTATTTTGATTCTCTTCATATTCCATTGGCAAGGAGGAAGTTCATTTAGTCAGTTTCTTCCCCAGAACTATTGCAATATAGAATGGGCTCCCGAATGTAATCTTAAAATCTTCAAGTGAACCGGTAGCTATCTTACAGTTCCTCATATTATATAATCCTTACTCGCTATCTATATACCTCCTTATAATATCCCAATTCAATAATTCTCTATCTGGGCCTTGTATTACGTGACCCCCCCCCACCAAAAAAAGAAAGAAAAACACAAAAGGTTTGTTAACTGCAGGGTTGTAAAATCCTAGCTACCCTAAAAATTGTATTGCAAGCGTTTTTCATCCTAATTTCTATAATCTATGAGGTTAAGTCAAAAAATTAACCGCATTTTCGCCATAACATATCTATATTTATCACACTACCTTGTGCTCAAGCGTGCTTATATTTGTTACTATTGTGTTCACTTGATAGAGGTTTTAGCTTGATCATACCGTTTTTCTTGCTGCTGTTGCAGTGTAAACATAACCTCCCCGCTAGCAGTGTGTACCAAGGAGGAACAAAGATTACAATCTACAGAGAACATGCTACCTCATACATGATAACTCGCCGGTTCGCCATTACCATCTCTCGAGCGTGCTGAATCTTCTCGTCAATGGTGGAGGTTGACGGGATTCCCGCTCTTTCTTCGTGTGTCGCGCTAGTCGGGCCACTTTTAAACTTCTTGGTACACTCATACACACTTCTACGCGGTAGTGCACTGATGCTGTATTATGTTAGAAGCCTTTAATGAGTTCCTAACCTCGACACACATTCTGACCAAAGAAATCGGATACGGGTAATAACGTTTGAAATAATAAAAATAAATCCATTATTTCTTATATATATATATATATATATATATATATACAAATATAAAATATACAAATCTAAAAACGAAAAGAATATAAATTCAAACGTTCATAACATAAATTTAAGAAGGGCTCAATACAAGAGTAGATCAATAGATATTTATTATAAACTGATTACATTGGAACATGCAAGTTAACACGACAAAAATGTATATTTGTTTCGATATCTGATTAGACATCTCGTGTGTATGTGTGTGTGTATTTAATCAGTGCTCTTTGTTCCACTTTGGTGTACTCTGCTAGCGGATCGGCCATGTTTACAATGTAGCAGTAGCAAGAAAATTGGCGCGATCAGGCTCAAACTTCGATCAAATAACCACAATATTACCAGCTATGTGACAATATCAATTTAAATGTTTTTTAGGAGATTGCATCTCTGATAAAAGTGTTAATATATATGTTGGTTTTACTACAACGACCATGACATAATTACGTTTCACTTAAACGATCATAGTTCAATTTCAGAATATTTTAAAGGAACACCCATGTCTTCATTCACAGTTTAGACAGATATTAGTCGAAAATACAACATTACTCCATCAAGATAATAAGCAAAACTTATGGAAGCCCTTTATATAAGCGAATTGTGGCTATAAATAAATAAAGTCAACTACGTATATAGCAACAAAGTTCTTAAATATTTATAACAGTAAAGTTTTTTTTTTAAATATTGAATTATAATTGTTAAAAACTACAATTAAAAAAGCTTTTAACCACGTAACTATACTCTGAAAATTATATAAGTTACCTCCCTTTCATAACGGTGTAAATATTAAATTTTACGGTGTTCATGTACGCTTATCCATAGAAATTCAACCCCTGAAGATGATGTTGGGTGAGATTGAAGTCTTGGGAAAATAAAATATTCCAAAGAAAATTTTGGATTTTTT